TGGACCCGTGAGCCTTGAAGGGAAGGATACAGAAGTCGACTAAACCCCAACTAGCAGAAGAATTTGCATGGAAATACCAAAAAAGAGACAGACGGAGCTGTGGTCTGGCAGGGATCCTGAGCGATCCTGACGGCACAGCACAGACACCTTGGCGATTCCCTAGTGGTGGTAGGACCTAAGAATTAACCTAAAAATCAGCCCTCCTAGCCAAGGGCTGGAGAATAAACGGAGAAGAAGAAGAGAAATGCGGGCTGAGCTGTGGACTTTTGCCTTTCCGGTGGATGCCGCCAATTTGAATGTTTAAAAGCAGCTTGACTATTTTGGATATATAAAGAGACTGTGCTCTCGCAGATTCCTGGGGCTTAAGAAGATCAGCTTTCCAGCAATCCCAAGGACACTCCGGAACTGCAAGACTGAAAAGGTACGACATTCCTCTTGCTACTCTAATACCCCAAACCTGATTGGTGAATGGAGGTGTGGCCATCCCCGACTCCCACCTACCATCTGGGCCCACAGGAACTCCATCCCAATCTGTATGCTGAGACGGAGCCTGGGTGCCCTGCCCTGGCCTCCACCAATCTTTTTTTTTCTTTTTTGCTTTCTTTTTTTCTGGTGATTAGTTTGCTTCAATTTGTCAGTTTTAAACCAATTATTATTATTAATAATACTTTTGTCCTTTTTACTATTATTCTTATTCTTCCCCTCTCAGGTACTAGTTTTCAGCAATTTTTCTTTTCCCTGTTCCTGGTTGAAATTGGTTTTTTTTTTTTCATTTTTTTTCCCCCTTTTCTCTCATGGTTAACCCTGTTCCTTGTTTTTCATTTTGCATTTTTCCCATTTTTTTTCCTTCATTATTCTCATTCTCTACCTTTTTTATCTTAGTGCCCTACCCCCAAGTATTACAGGTTTTCTTGTTTTTTCTTCTTCTTTTTCCATTTTCTCTTTTTTTGGTTACTGCTCCTGTGTGATTACATGGTGTGTTTTTTGTCCACGCTTTTAGTTTTTTGATGGTGATTCAATTGTAATTTTTGTCTAACTGAGTGGGAAACAACAACAGTCCCCATAAGACACAACTACACCCACACGTCCTGCAACTTCACTTACTGAGCGACAGCCACTAACTCCTTCTCCACCAATGGGTCAACAATAAAAAACCACCAAGAAGAGCCTGAATCACAATTAGCTGCTCTTCACAGTTAACAGAGATCTAAATAAAACAATGCCACGATGCCTTGGAGACAACAAACCATCACAGTCCATACAAAGAAGCAGGATAAAGTGGTAGAGAAAAGGGAGCAGTATAAAGACCCAGAACACATCCCTGCGGGAGAAGCGGCATTGGAACTCTCTGATAAGGAATTCAAATGAATTATATTTAGGTATCTTCAAAGGACTGAGAGACAGAGCAAAGAAAACACAGAAAAAACCTTAGAAGAATTTTGGAAGAAAATACAAGAACAAAATGACAAAAGAAATGAAGACTTAGAAATGATTGTAAATCTACAGATAGAAATCCAGAAGATTAATACTAAATTGTCAGAAATAGATAACACATTGGAAGGGCAAAGGAGTATAACTGATGCAATGGAAGGC